GTCACTAGCTTAGCATTGGGGCACTTGTACCACATTCCAGGGTCACAGAGACACCTACAGTGGTGCTTTTCTTCTGGCATTCACAGAACAGATCTCTGCTGCTTGGTGTTCCTTCCTGTAGAATGAACACTGAACTCAGTGGTGGGCAAAGCTTTATGCTCTTATGAGGCTTTCAGGAAGTTTTCATGGGTTTTCTTCCCTGTTTCATAGGTTTTCTTCCCTGTTTTACTTGTAACTTCTCTCAGCCTCTCTGGTGGTCAGTCCCAGTGTTTTCCAGCCTTTTCTGCTGAACATCCCACAGAATCCTTTTTTCCTTCCCCTCACAGCCTTCACTGGCATCCCAGCATCCCTGTTGCCACCACTGTTTTTCCTGGTCACTCTTAATGACTTGTCACCTCTGGTCTGCTCACTCATGTGGCTGCTGGTGGGAAGCCCCATGTTCACTCTGAATTTTTGCCAGATCTGTGTTTTCTGTTGTTAATCTCTACAAATTCTGCTGCAGCAAAACAATGCAGTATCCCAGCTGGGATCACAATCCTATTGTACAGCAGAGGATATGGACACAGGGATACTTTTTTGTCTGTGTCACTTTAATAAAACTGTGAGGATCTTTATTGTTCTGAAGTACATTAAACCGTTGTTGCTCTTGGCAATCCACTATTAACCCTCTTTCATGCTGTGATTAGCCTTCTATTCATACATTGTTCCTTGTCTATTAAATAGATTCTAATTGAAAATAGGACTTCAACTTTGTGCCTAGTGGCTTCAAAACTAATTGGTTCTTCCTAAAAGCATAAAGGAACCCTTTCCATCAGGCATGGGGTGCATTAGGCTTCACAGAGGGATGCAGTGGACTGGGGTTGGTGCCATGTCCAGGCTGGTTAAATTGTATTCACCACTTCTCCCTGGTGTAATATTTTGGTTTTGCTATAAAAAATAAGGTTAGAGGAATGATTTACAAATGTTGTGCTGGGTTTATCCCTGTTGTGTTTTGCACAGGAAGGTGCTTTTATAACATGTTCCTTTGTGATTTTCTAAGGTAATTTCCCTTTATATTGATCCAGGTATCTTTGGTTTATAAGTCCTGGCAAAGGCAGTAAGAACTTTCACAAGGATATGCCATCCCTTTCTTGTACCCTGGCAATCATTACTTTGGCTTAGTTTTTCCAAAAGATGTGGTCAGCATTTAGATTTATCTCCTTGAAGATTAAGCATTACCTAAAATATAGCTGTAAGAGACAGCCCTGATAATCTTTGGTGTATTCCAGACATGCAATTGATGTTTACAAGTATCTAATTTAGTTGTTAATATCAGAAATACCTGGGATTTTTTTTGCATTGTAAAAGGGAAATGAAATTAGGGTCCAGGGAAAAAAAGTGTTGTTTACCTCCTGAGGATTTGAAAGACCACATTTGACAGGAATCCCTGCAAACAAAATGCCATCCTGTTCATTTCTCCATCTGTCTGGTCAGCACTGCTTTTTACCTAGTGTTGGTATGTGTGCCTGCAAGTATCTGACCACATGACTGTATTCAAAGATAATTTATTTATTGGCTTAAAATTACATTATGGAAATAATCATATCAGAGCTGATTTCCTCTTCCACTCTTCTTCCAAATCATTACCTCAGTAAAAATATATAGGAAAACAAGACTCTTTAGAACCCAATTTATTATCTCCTGCTGGTAGCAATAACCTGAAAATAACAGCAAATAGTAAAATTCAAACTTGAGGCAAGACACTGGTGCTGGGAACAGCTGCAGTCGCATTTATAAAGGATAGATTCAATATAACAGCTATAGAAATGTGCAATGTTTCAGAGGCTCCCAGATTAGTACTTGATTGCTTTTTCAAGTTTGTGCTATAGATTGGGAAGAACACAGGATTTTAAAAGGTATGAACAAGCACCATAAATAAGATGCTACTTGAATCAGAGATGTTGCCTTCCTCTCCCACTCTTCACTTCCCTGGCTTCTGCCTTTCCTCTTCACCCCAAAAAGTGGCTAATATTTTTTCAAGGAAAATAATTACACAGAAAGCACTGTTTCTATTTGA